CCCAGGAGGCGCCGCCGGCAGCGCTCTAGCTGCTGCTGCGGAGGAAGCCAAAGGTCCCAACGCTCCTGCAACAACCAGAGCTCTGGCTGCTGCGGTGGCTGCTGAGAACCCAAGGAGCTGCTCCCAAGCAGCTGACATCCTACAGCGGCCCCTCTCTCTGCGGCAACCACCCTGTCCTCCATAGTAGTAATAGGCAGGACCGGTCTCGGAGTCCGGTCCCCCAACACTTGGATGTTCAGAAACGTCACCCTATTCTCAGGCCTGTCCCCTCATGCTGATTTTCTTCCCAGGGAATACACAAGTCAAGGGTGGGACCTCAGACCATGCTATGGGCAGGGGCTTGTGCACAACAGTGTTCAAAATAAGTCTACTGAATTGATTGTCCTCCGAAGACGTCATAATAAAGCTTCTACCTCCTATGAACGCTTCTTTTCCTATTTATTTCTTTATCCGTGTCTTCATTTTTCTTGTTTTATTGCCCTTTATGCTACCCCTCGGAGGCTCACGCCTGAAGAAGAACACATCGACCGTTCTGCGTATTCTAAGGATTCGGCGTTGGCAGTCTCATCTACTTTGTGTAATGACTCACAGAGGTGGGCGCTGCCACGTCTGTTTTACAGAAGAGAAACTAACGTTAAGCTCATACTTCGGTATGCCTGCAAGATGGAGGTGACTGTAAGATTCCAGAGATCATTCTCCTAATTGTTCTGCTTAGCTTGGTCTGCTCTAAGTGGTCAACAACCTTGTGCTCCTCCCCAGAGCAACCCCCTGCCTCCGCACCCCCCATCCCAGTCTGACTCAGCCCTTTCCCACCAGGCCAGGGTCACTCAGGGACTCTGGTTTGGACTGGCAACTTGTGGAGCTTCGAGTTCAGTCCTGCTCAAACTTCGTTCTCTTCTTTCATTCATCCCTTCTTTTCTACTTCCTCCCTTTCTTTCCTTCCTTCCTATCTCTTCCCCTCAACTCCTTTCCCCTCTCCATCTTCCTCCTCACAACACCTTAGTTTTCTCTTTCTGGTGGAAGACCATTGGCCTTCCCTTGCTGGGTGATAACATTTTCACCATCTACCAGGAGCCTGGGACTCACCTTCTTATAGGCCTGATCTATGCTGCTGAGCCATGACCAGGAACCACAGGCTCCTCTTGGTCATGGCTGTGGCCATTGGAGTGAACCGCACTAGCATAGGAAGCTCTGTGACCATAGAGTTTACTGTTCATTTTAGGTAAGGCCCCTTAGCCTAATGTCTTCTAGGTTCAGAAGGGACAGTATAATGTAAAAATAATAGCACAAAATAGCTCACATTTGTTGAACACTAATTTTGTTTCAGACATGAGATTATATATATAGAGAGAACATATAAGATATATATATATATATATATATATATATCTTAATAACCTCAAAAATATCTTTTAATTTCCTCAAATTTTCAAG